CCCCCCCCCCCCCTCCCCACATCCCCGTGCCATTACCAGGTGTGCGCTGAGGGCAGGCGGTCGGTGGAGCGGTCATCGCGGTGGATCTGGAACTTCTGGATTCCATTCATGCCCTCGAGGGCAGCAAAACCCTGCAGAGGGACCTTGGACGTCCCTGTCACAAACTGCAGGAACTTGGCCCGGTCCGCCTGGTCAAAGGAGCGCAGCGCCCGCCAGAACCACTGGATCTGAGGTGGGGAGGGAGGGGGGGGGGAAAGGGGGGAGGTCACAGCCTGAACCGGTGGGGATGGGGATGTGGGGACACGTGGATACAGGATGTGGGGAGGCGAGAACACGGGGATGTGGGAACATGGGAATGCAGGGGACGTGGGGATGGGGGGGGGACGTAACACGAAGATGTGGGGATGTGGGATTGGGGACAAGAAGAGGAAAAGTGGGGATGGGGAGACAGGAGGACATGGGGACAAGAGATGAGGGGACGTGGGGACACAAGGAACAAACATGGGGGACATGGGGATACGGGGCTGCAGGGATGGGGAGAAATGGGGACATGGCGACGTGTGGACGAGGGCACGTGAGGACAAAGGGACAAACGGGGGACACAGGGACGCGGTGCCACCAGGACGGCAGCTGTAGGGGGCTCGGGGGGCTCGGGGTTTCCCCCCCACCTGGATGGAGTTGCCCTGGTACTTGTGGTACTCGGTGTTGGCCTTGAGGTCGTCGATGTCGATGGTGGGCAGCCCGGAGATGAGCAGCTCCAGCTCCTGCTCCGTGAAGATGGAGATGAGGCGCTTCGGGATGATCTCGTAGAAACCCTCCAGGAAGGCGGCCAGCTGCTTCCGGATGGCCCCTGAGAGACAGGGGGACAACGGGGGACGTTCAGAGGGGGGGGGTTTTGGACCACCAGGACCCCCAACCTGCCCCCCCCAACCCGGACCCCCGCCTCACCGGTCATGCGCATCTGGCAGACGAGGTGCACGTACTCCTTCTTGTTCTCCTCGGTCACCAGCACGTTGGCTCCGTTGGGTTTCAGGTCCCGCACCTCGCACACCCCAAACTCCTGCACCTGGGGGGCGGCCGGGGGGAGTGAGGGGTGAAGCTCGGGGCGGAAGGGGAAGGGGACAGCGGTGGGGCAGAGGGGACACCCGAAACCCGGAGCGCCCACGGGCAGATGAGGACCGTAGGTAGGGGCATTTTGCTTCGTCCCCAGGGCTCCATGGGACGCACAGGACCCCATTTGCGGGCCGTCCCCCCCCATCCCCCCCCACTGCTGCACACCTCGGTGCTGAAGGTGAGGTCGTAGCCCAGCGTGGAGACGTCGTTCTCCAGCAGGTAGACCAGGCCCTGGTAGAAGTGGTAATCCTCGCTCTCCATGTCCGTGTACCTGCGTGGAAACAGGGGGGGGTCAGCCCCCTTTATTTGGGGTTCCGACAAAACTTAGGGGGAGCTCCGCTCCCTTGCTGGGTTCTACGCCCCACACTTGGTTCTCCACGCCACGCTCGGGTTCTCTGCCCGACATCTTTGGGTTCTTCCATGCTCTGCTTGGGCTCTACGCCCTGCGCTCACATTCCGTGTCCCCAAATCGTTGGGTTCTGCACCCAAAACCGCTGGGTTTTGCCCAAAATGCTCTGGTTCCACACAGCTGTTGGGTTCCGTGCCCCCCAGCTGCGTTCCAGACCCCACTTCTGCATTCCGCGCCCACGGCAGTTGGGTTCTACGCCCCACAGCTGGGTTCCGCGCACTACAGTTGGGTTCTATGCCCTGTGGTTGGGTTCTGTGCCCCACAGGTAGGTTCTAGATGCTACAGTTGGGTTCTGTGTTCCACTGTTGGGTTCTAGATGCTACAGTTGAACTCTATGGCCTGTGGTTGCGTTCTAGATGCTACAGTTGGACTCCATGCCCTGTGGTTGGGTTCTACCTGCTATAGTTGAGTTCTATGCCTCATGGTTGGGTTCTAGATACTACAGTTGGACTCTATGCCCTGTGGTTGGGTTCTAGATGCTCTGGTTGGGTTCTAGATGCTACAGTTGGACTCTGCGCCCTGTGGTTGGGTTCTAGATGCTACAGTTGGGTTCTAGATGCTACAGTTGGACTCCATGCCCTGTGGTTGGCTTCCACCTGCTATAGTTGAGTTCCATGCCTCACGGTTGGGTTCTAGACGCTACAGTTGCGTTTCACACCCTGTGCTCGGGTTCTGCACCCTGCAGCCTGGCTCCACACCCAAAACCACCGCGTTCCTCCCACTACCACTGGGTCCCACAGCCCCAAACCTCCACCCCGAAAACGTTTGGGGTTCCACTCTCCTCACCTCACAGACTTGCCCAGGATGTGTTTGTAGAAGGAACGGGTGAAGTAGCACTCGAGCAGCCGGTTGTCGTAGACGGCTTTGGCCACGATGCGCCCCACAAACTTGAAGTAGCTGAGGTGGTTGGGGTTGCAGTGGGACGAGGGGTTGATGGTGTAGGTGACGCGGTCGCCCGGCGAGGTGCGGAACAGCGCGTACATGGGGTTGAACATCTCCCTGGAGATGATCATGTACCACTCGCGCAGCAGCCCCCCGGCGTCCTGCCCCTCCTCGCCCTCGAAGACGATGTACCTGCGGCGGGGGGAGAGGCGAAGGGCGGGCGATGGGACCCCAAACGGCCCCTCGGACCCCAAAATCGCGGGCCCTACGCCTCCCACACCAACCCAGAGCCCAGCTCCGGGGTCCCCCTGCGTCCCCTGACCCCAAAACTTCACCCTGCGCATCTCACGCCGCCCCAAACCCGGCCCGCATCCCCTCATGTAGACTTGGGGGCGCCCTACAGACCCCCAGGATCTGTCCCTAAGGACGCCCCATGTATCTCCAAACCCATCCTTGGTCCCCCCCACTCTCTTCTGGGAGATCCCCACCTACCCCAAAATCCGTCCCTGAGGACCTCGCAGAACCCCCACATCCACCCCACAGCCCCTCAGGTCCTGGGGGCATGGCAACAAACCTGGTCCTAAGGAGCTCATGCAACCCCAGCCTCATCCTACGACCTCTCAGCTGGCCCTGGGGTGCCCTACAGACCCCGGCACCCAACCCTAAAGGACCTCACGTCACCCCAAACCCATCCTATAACCTCTCAGCTGGCCTTGGGGTGCCCTACAGACCCCTCAAACCTGATCCCATGGCTCTCAACACAACCCAAACCCATCACACATCTCCTGATGCGGCCCTGGGGTGCCCTACAGACCCCAGAATCCAACAATAAAGGACCTCACGTCACCCCAAACCCATCCTAAAGCCTTGGGGTGCCCTACAGACCCCAAACCCGCCCCCCTGTGGATCCCCCTCCACCCCAACGCCTCGGGGGTCCCCCGGCCGCCCCCCTTTTGGGGTGTCATTTATTTTGGGGGGGGGTCTCACAGTCGGTTCTTCATCTCCTCGGGGGATTTGCGGTGCAGCTCCCGGTACGAGTCCTCGAAGACGTGGTCGCGCCGCACGTGCACGGCCATGTCCTCCTTGCGCAGGCCTTCGTCCAACCTCTCCAGCTCCTGGCGGAAATACCTGCGACGGGGGGGAAAAGAAGGGAAGGGGGGGGGGGGGAAAAAAAGGTCA